ATTTTCCTGGTGGTTAATCCACCAATGTTCAGACTTGCAATAAATTCAGTACTGCTCAGTCACTTTTGAGACGATTAAAAGCTCAATGATTTGCTTATTAAAAAACAGCTTATATAAATTCTTAAAATAGACCGAAATAGCCATAATGGAACGCAAATGTTTGATCATTACTGAATTTACCACAGTGGATATAATTTAAAATTTTATGAAAGGCTAAGCATAATTTATAATGTTTGTTCAGTCTTTCAAGTCTTTTTCAAGATCTTTTTCAAGATCAGCTCAGATCAAAATTACCATTGAAGTTCACAGTTAGTTTACTTGTGATTTACATTTAATCTACATAAGTTAACTATCAACCTGAATCTAGTTTTCTGAAACGATTTCAGTATACAGGAAATTCTTAAACGATATTACTGATAATAACAAAGATAACTGATCATACAGAAGAGGACTGATCATAACGAAGATGAATTGTAGTAAAATGTAAGGAAATGTAAATAATAATAATAATAATAATAATAATAATAATGAAAATAATAATAATAATTATAATAATATTAATAATTAAATACAAATTATCTATATAGTTTTTTATACAAAAGTACCAAAAAGAAAATTGAACATTGTTTTAAAGTGCATTTTATTAACAGAAAGTGATGTCACACACACATTTTCTATCCCAGGAATATATAACCTTAGCTGTATTTGGCAAAACTTTTCGGAATTTAAGGTTTTCACATAGGCGGATAGGCGGATCAAGGGGGGGGGGGGGGGGGCCTTTTGTGGGAAAAATTTGGTTGATTATATAGGGAATCACTGAAACATGACTGGAGCGGTCCCCTTAGGTCAGTCAGTGCCCCCCTCCCCCCTTACAAAAAGTTCTGGATCCACCACTGTAATTTCATATTCTTTTCAACCTTTATTTGGACTTTGTATTTTTTTTATTTGAGCGCGCTGATGAGTCTTTTGAACACGAATGGCGCGTCTGGCGTACATAAATTAATCCTGGTATCTATAATTAGTTTATACACAAGGGAAAAGTTAAATGTTAACATTGCTTTGAACATCTTGTATTTTAAATTGGTTCCTTATGGTTATTATGTATTGTTCACTTTCAAGTGCACGTCAAATTTCATGATGAATCTAGAATTCATTTTGATTAGACATTAGGTCAAGAGAAAACGCGTCATTGTTAGAGGTTCTTACGAGTTTACATTACCAAGTGCTGACTAAAAATTGTTCTCTGAGGTATTGTATATTTTGCGGTACCAAATGGAAGAAGATATTTGATTAAAAGATTTATTCTGTAGATATGATTAATTATTTTACAAATCTTGATTGTAAGCATCCTGACTTAAAAACAAATAGTACGCTTTAAAAGTATTACAGTTAAAAAAAATTAAGACTTTTGTTTGACCTTATTTGAATTTTTATTCTTCTATTTATAATGTTATACTCAATGCATGGAAAAAAGGAGACACTAAACCTGTCGACGCGACTAATCGCGTCCTTTTTAGGAGTTCATGCGATTTCCTAAGTTTCTGTTGGGTACCTTGATTTGAATCTTCCTTATCGATTTCCGAGAGTTGAACATCGGTTAACTACTGTCGCCTTGATACTCAACTAGTCTGAGAGAAGATCTCGTAGAGCAATTCTTGTCAACAAATTCTTTGAATACAAAGAATAAATGCAAATATTTAAAAATTAGAAAAATTATGCATATACTGTTCCCTTTAAAGAGAGGACTAGTTTTCTATTATAATATAGCCCAACAGAAAAATAAAAAAAAGATACTAAGATTTGTTTAATTCCAATAAGATAAAGAATAACTGACAGTGTTATGGCAAAAAAAGATAAACGACGAAAAAACAATCAAATTCACATAACATTACATAGTAAACTAAGACTGAAAAACATGAAACCCCACCAAAAACCGGGTATGATCTATGGTTCCCATGTGACACCGTTGTGTTACTTAAAAACGTATAGTCCATAACATTTTGGTTATATCAGTACCATTTGCAAACAGTGAGATATCTTTCTAAATTTTCACAAAGTTAAGCTACCAGTATGTAATATTTTTCTCTCGTGTTATGGTTGTTAAAGAAAACTGTCAGAAAGAATCAATACTTCAGTTTGGTATGAAAGGTGTGCGATTGGATTCATAAATGGTTTTGACCTACAATTGTTATGAATCATCTAGAGATTTGTGTAAACAAGAAGCACCTTAATTAAACTCACAGACCAAATAAATGTACACATACATTATAGCTTCATAATTTCCAGAGCGCCTCACATGCCTTCTAATCATCAACCCAACTTTATAAGAGCAAATTTTTCACAGACGTTATCGTTGGAATACATCGCTTTCTAAATATGTATTTTTATGAGAATCACCATTATGTTATTTGATTAAAGGATCTCTGTTTGTGTTATATAACATGTATAAATTACAGGATAGTTCATCCGCCCTAACTATCCCTTTTCTGACGTCTGTTTAAAATGTATGCTCTGTTGGATTTATCAGATCTTTATTTCATTTTGTGAGGAAAATTCATATATCTAAATGCCGCCACTTTCATGTTGTAAATACTTTAGGTTTTTAATCATTATTCTTAAAGATACTAGCATTTATCCATTTTCTTTGTAAATATTTTCCCTTTTAAGCTCAATTCAAGCATATCATCACTTGTTGTCTATCGTCTGTCGTATTCTTTTCGGTAACCTTCTATTTGGAAAGAGGGGATTGGTGACCGAGAGGTATAAGTAGTTCATCTGCTGTATCACTAGCCTGTCAACACCAGGATAGTGAGTTCGAACCAAGCACGTAGCAGGTGCGATCGACTCTAATCTTGATAGACTAGGATGGTCAGTTTTCCTACCGAAGATCGATGGGTCTCTGGGGTTCCTCCACCAATAAAAGCTGACCACCAAGATATAGCAAATAGTGATAAAAGAGGAGTTAAACACCAACAATAAATCAATCAATAATTCTCCTTGGAAATCACTGGAGTTGTTGTAAAAGTATTACTTGTGCTGTTCCTATTATGTGTCTAAATTGATCTATTTGAACTAAAATGATAATTTAACGCGTAGGTTAGGGAAAAAATAGATATAAACGAAGGCCTTACCAAACAAAACCGATATTTTACACGTTAATTACTAATATATAACATTTTTGTGAAAAATATGTTGTAAAAATTTATAATGGGTATTGTCTTGTCCTAAAGCTAAGTCTGAACGACAATATCTAAAAATGAGACTGTTTTTGCACTTTCTAAAGTTTTCAACCAGATGCAAAAAGTTTATCTCTAATGCAAATATGAAAATTCAAATATTTATACGGATGTTTGATAGACTAATGTCTTCTTATACTTTTTGACTTTCGAATTCAAATGGCATGAACTTCTACCTTGACAAATAGAATGCAGGATCGCCTTATTATAAATTTTGGTTAATTGTATTATCATCTTCATTACAATTATGTTTCAGTGGTTGTTGGTAACTCATGCTAACAACCAATGAAACTTTAAAAAGAAAATCTAAAATAACATGTGGAGAAGCTACATAATTTAAATAAATAATACATTTATGATACTGATTTCATTAAGTCAGATTAAACACACGGCACTCATAATAAAGCAAGAGGTACTTCTCAATTCCGATCAATTTCGAAATGGTTAATTGCCTCTGAACTTAAAGAGATTGAATATACTTTAATAGGGGCATTGAGTGCTCTGGTTGACAATGGTCCAAAATCCATATGAGCTTTGCAGAAACAGTAAAACAGTAAAGCTATCTAAATGTTTAATGGTAAATTGGAACAAAATGATTTAAAGCATAATGCCATTGCATTATTCCAAAATCGTGTTTTGTTTTATTGAAAACAACTCTTAATTATATTTTTAGTGGAACATCTGATATAATAAAAATTGGGAGAAGATAATAAGGGGTTAAGAAGCATTAATTGAAGTTAAATAGACAACCTAATAATCTCACCAAAACCGAGGGTGAACTCAGGTACTACAGAAGGATCAGTATTTGTTGTTGGACTAGTAACACCCTCAATGTAACTCCTGTTAAAATATTGATGAGTTACATGATGATGTGATAAGGTTTAAATATAGTGGTTGTGTTTAAGTATTAGCATTTCCATACTGTAATATCTCGTGGAATGGGTGGGGTGGGAGAGGGGCACTTCAATACTTAATTGATAGAGGGTGTATATTGCGTAGGTAAAAATATCACCTTTCCCCATATTGGTATGATTTTGTGAAATCGAGAAAATATCACCTTTGCTCGAAGCTCAGATCTGAGGCTCAGATTCCTCATGTAATGTTTAATTAAGGCGAGACTTTCGGCTGTCAAAAAAAAAAATACAGGGCTTTTCATATATCAAGTAATGGGATCTTTATTGATCTTATCATATATTTCTGATATTTTTCCCCACCTATTCACATATTTTCAAGCTGGAAAATGTAACCTATTACAGCGGCACGTCCTATCACCTTGTATATAGGAAGTGCCCCCTTCCCCGAGTGTAATATACGCCATTTGCATTTTGGTGGTTATAAAATCTTAAATTGAAAAAAAAGAGTCGAAAGATACCAAGGGAACATCAGAGATGATAAGTCGAAGGAAAACTGACAACGCCATGGCAAAAAATAAACACAACAAAAAAACAAAGATGTACGGAAAAAAAAACGAGGCTACAAACACGTCAAATAAAACTAACGACTGAGCAACACAACCCCCTCCCCCACCCCCCTAAAAAAAAAAAAAACAAAATGGGGATGATCTCATTAACTTCAAACTTATTGTCGCCAATACTATTTGGACCAAGATCTGAAACGGATTAAATAATATATTCATATGAATCCTTGAAAACATTGTATTCCTGGGAAAACTATGGAGTGTACAGGTAAAACCTGTTCTTTTCTTTCGACCCAGTTCTAAATATAGATATTTATATCTATTTAAATTTATAGGTAAATAACGTTGATTTAAAGCGTCGCAGTAGCGGTGTCATCAGACAAATTCCTTTGAATTTAAACCGAAAGTAAAATAGTATGCATTATTTTTTGTCTTTGTCAGCATAGAAGAAATATCGAAAACACAGTAATATAGATAAAGCGGAAAATTCAAATTCAACTTTAATGGGATTTTGTGATATTAGCAAAACTGTTATACTAAGAGATATATAACACACAACAATATGGCGCAAAATACTACTGAAGACGACAACTACCTAATTGTAGCTGCAATAGACTTTGGAACTACCTATTCTGGGTATGCCTTTTCGACTCGAAGTGACTTCAAGAAAAATCCTCTACAGATACAAGCTAATCATGCGTGGAATGCCGGAAGCAGACAACTCATGTCGTTAAAAGCACCAACTTGTCTTTTGCTAGATTCGGATAAGAATATGGTAGCATTTGGATATGAAGCAGAAAATAAATATGCCGAACTTGTAATGGATGAAGAGCATCATGATTATTATTATTTCCACAGATTCAAGATGAGACTTTACAATGCAAAGGTATTTGGAAGTTAAAGTAATTTACCTTACTAATTGTAAACCTGAAACCAAAATTATAACGTAATTTGATGCAATATACACACACACGTGAACAAATTAAATATAGAGTTAGTTAAATAAAAGTGTAGAAACGGTTACTTTAAATTATATATTAAAAGAAACTAAACAAAACAAAAATAGTTAAACCATTGTGACAAAGAAATAAGTAATTCTCACTCGAAAAGAATTATTCCTATCATTTTATGTCCTTTACTTCGGAAACTTGCTATTTTTTAATTAAAAAATATGTTGCTAAACATATTTTACTCAGTATATAAGTTAACTGTACAACGACATTTGATACTCTGATAGTATCTTATTTATAAATGATAATGGCAATCAATAAGTTGATATTTATCGTTAATATGATATGACACACTGATGAGGAACAACTTATTAAGATAGACATGTCTTCAGCATATGCCAACATTAGAAGTTTGTATGTTACTTATGACTGCAAACAAAATACAATAGGTGTTGTGATAGCAATTAACACTTTATTACAGGAAGGAATACAGTCAGTATTTTAACCATCTAAAAGTTACTCTTACAAAATAAGAAAAAAAACGCTATGAAATCACCACTAAACAATGAGCAATGTTTGTTCACTGTCGAATATTCCTTAATACTCTTACTAGATAATGAAATGCCTGTACCAAGTCATCAAAGTTCTGAAGGTATTTTCCTTTTATTGTTGTCGTAAAAATGATGGTCAAACAAAATAGACTACTCGTAATCTTTCATACTTACTTTGATTTATATTCATATAATATATATTTTTATATTTGACAGAAAGTAAGCAAGGAATTGATCATAGAAGATATAACTGGAAAGAGCGCCTCAGCATTAGACATATTCTCTTTGTCTATAAAAGCTCTAAAAGACCATTTACTAAATTCTATTAGACAACAACTTGTTGATATACAAATTGATGATATTCGTTGGGTTCTTACTGTTCCCGCCATATGGTCTGATGGTGCTAAGCAGTTCATGAGAAGGAGCGCTGAAATGGTATTATGAATATCATATTTGTTTAAGTATAACTATTAAGGTTTTTACATAAACACATTTTATATCAGGTTTGTGTGTTTTTTTAATTTTTGCTTATGCACGAGCATATAAGTCGATTATAAGAGAGGCAAAGGATTCCTAAGAGATATTCAAACTCATAAGTCGAAAATAAACAGACAAGCCATGGCTAAAAAAAGAAAAAGAGAAACAGACAAAAAACAGTACACAAAACACAACATTGAAAACTAAAGACTGAGCTAAAGACATAGAAAACTAAAAACTAGACTAATGATATGACAGTAATGTTTTGTTAAAGTGTTTTATTATATTAACTAAGTTGGAAATCTTTTGATTGATTCGTTAAGCTTCATTAATACATTAAAAAAATGTAAGCTGTTGTTTACAAAGATTGTAAGTTACATATATGTTGAAAGTATTGATATCAAACTGATATTTGGTATTCCAATGAGAACTAAGTACGCTATCATGGTCGCCGACTTGTTTGTGTACTAATATAAAGCAGAAATCAATGGAAAAGACCAGAAGAAAAAGCATCAAGCAAAATCCTTTAATTTCACATTCAGATGAATTTACTTGTGATGGCAATTGTTGTTAAATGATGGACTAGATGTAAATAATAGGTTAAGAGGTTTACTGGAGCATTTGGCAGACAAAGTTATTTGACGTTGCCTGTAGAATAATTATGTTCTTTGGCTGCTTGTATCATGCTTAAATCAAATATTGTATAATTCCAAAAGTAGCACAAAGCAGATTTATTTTTTTTAAGATGTCCTCTTTCTTTTTATTATCATGAACAATTACCTCACTTTTATGGTAAACAGATATATGAAGTTAAATTGTAACATTATAATTCTGGTATTTGTTCACGAATATCACATTTTAAAAGTCATATAATTTGATGTTTGATTTTTAAAAAACGAAAGGCAGAGGATACCAAGGGGATATCAGTCGAGAGAAACTGACAACGTAATGGTAAAAAAAAAACCCGAAAGGCGACGAAAAGACAATACGTTCACAACGCACTTAATAGAATACTAAAGACTGAGCAAAACGAATCCAACCAAAAACTGGTGGTGTTTTTTTTTTATAATTGTATTTAGGTTATAAAAAGCTTTTTACTATCATGATAATTCTTCACTTAAATAAAATTTTAAAAGAAAGATCTATGTGTGAAATTATATTTCGTTGGATTTGTGCAGCTTGTAAAGCAAAGATTCCTAATCGAAAATATGATCATAATTATATTTATAAGGATGCTAACTATATATACTATTAAATAAATTTGCAGGCGGGGATATCATCGAATAAATTACGAATAGCCCTTGAACCCGAAGCAGCATCAATATACTGTCAACATTTGCCTACAGAAAAATTGGAAGGAGCAAAAGGATTTGCAGTCGCTACCGTTGGAACAAAATATATGGTTGTTGATTTAGGAGGTAACTCGTGTAGAAATAATTGTATTTTTTCGGAATTAAACAGTGGATATAATGGTTAAACTTGAAGGGTGTTCAGTTTATTGTAATTATGCAATATTTGTCACAGTTACCATGTTTATTCATTTTGTATTTTATATTTGTTCATTCTCAGTGTTTTAGTTACCGTTTCTTGAAAGTGCATTTCAATGAATTAACCACTTTAGTGATTTTATAATTGCACTTGAAAGAGCTATCCTTCATATTCATTAGTATGATGCATATGCGAATAATTATACAGATTATAAATATCGCCATCCAAATATTATTGTTGATCTCCAAGCTCCCAATTAAAAGTCCACTTCGCATTAGGAAACAGGCTTAAATAAAACAGGTCAAGGCTCCAATGATAGGGTTCCTGGCTCCTCGAATAATAAAGAAATGGGCTTGGGTATGGATATTGGTTCATGATGGTACATGGGCTAGCTTATCGTTCATTTAGTTCCTTGTCTATTGCAAAATGTAGATTTCATTTGGTTATATTGATTACCTTTTTTTTGTCCATATGTGAAGGAGTTTTGTTATAGTAATCTCCCTGTGATTAATGTTTGATGAAAACATTATGTCACTCCGTCCTAAAATATGTACATGTATGACTTTTAGGATCTTTATATATAAAAGTTCATGTGTGATTCTTTGGCAATGGTGATTTTAAAGAAAATATAACTCATTACAGATATATCTGGCGTATTAATCTTCTTCTATTTAGTATTACACACTAATGGCCAACACTTTGTAAAAGAGAGGAGAAAGATATCGAAGGAATATTCAAACTCAAAAGGTCCAACACAAAATGACAATGCCATGGCAAAAAAACGAAAAATGATGAAAAGACAAACAACAGTACACAAAACACAACATAAAAAACTAAAGACTGAACAACATGAACCCCATCAAAAACCGGGGGTGATCTCAGGTGCTCCGGAAGGGTAGGTAAAAAGGTCTTGCTCAACATCTGGCACCCGTCGTGTTGCTCATATGTGTAACAAACCCGGTGATAAGTCTAATTTGGTAGGTCACATTCAAAGAAAAGGGGATGTGATTGTGGTTGCGACAATTGGAACATATCCGTTGTTATCTGTAAAACAGATATCCCATAAGGGTCAACCAACTCTTAATAATTAATCAGTATTTCTATCTAGGGAACTCTGTGGTTGAATGGACTATGTTATTCCAAAAAAAAACATTATCATATCAAAGATCTAATAGTCTTACAATGACTTTTTGTTAAAATCGTTATGCTTTTTGGCACTATAAATTGTCGAAATTGTTGAAAAAAGTAAAATAACAAAAATAACAAACTCCAAGGAAAATTCAAAACGAAAAGTCCCTTAACAAATGGCAAAATCAAAAGCTTAAATACACTTTGAACATTGAAATTGATACTTAAGATATATGTTCCATTTATATAGATTTAGAAGGAAAAAAACGTCCAATTTAAAAACAAAATGATTATATTACGATACTATTTCAGGAGGGACGGTCGATATTACAGTTCACGAAAAAAGAAACGACGAAAGCCTAAAAGAGATTTGTCGTGCCTCAGGTGGTGATTATGGTGGAACAAGTGTTGACCGGGAGTTCATGAAAATGATAGAGAACATCACTGGTACCGAAGCGATGAAAGCTTTCAAAAGAGAAAGTCTGGACTCATACCTCGACTTATCCAGAGAGTTTGAAAGCAGAAAAAGAAGTCTTCGTGTTGGAAAATCTGGGACAATTAACATGACGATCCCGTTTACAGTTTTGGACGATCTTTGTAAAGAACACTTGAATAAAAATTTTGAATCCGCTATCGAGTCGTCCAGGTTTAATTCAGATATTTCGATAATTTCTGACAAGATACGTATAAGGGAAGACACTTTTCTTTCCTCATTCCAGCCAACTATTGCCGGCGTAATCGAAATAATTGATGAAATTTTGAAAAGAGAAGGTGTTGATGGACTTTCACAAATTATTCTTGTCGGAGGTTTTGCAGAATGTGTCCTTCTTCAAAAAGCAGTACAATCTACTTTTCCCGATCAAAATGTAATTGTTCCAACAGATAGTGAGATGGCGGTTTTGAAAGGAGCCGTAATATTTGGTCATCAGCCCAATGCCATTTCTGAAAGAATTGCTAAGTATACCTATGGATTCAGTAAACGTAAAAAGTTTGATCCACTGAAGTATGACAGTAGCCATTTAGAAATAGTAAACGGAGAAGAGAAATGCAGTCGTGTATTCGATCCAATAGTGAAACGCAATGAAATACTACCGTTAGGCAAAAAAGTTACTTCCGTAGCAAAATGTAAACAAGAGGACAATGGATTGTTTACACTTCGTATCTATCAAACAGAAAAGGATAATCCAATGTACACCGACGAAGATGGTTGTTCGGTCTTAGGAACAATAACAGTGCAGCTTACAGGCACTGGTACAGCTGACAAAATCAAAGTCGAATTGATTTTCGGAGAAACTGAAATTAGAGTTAAAATCAAGGAAACAGCAACTCATAAAAAATGCGAGGAGACAATAGAAATGATATAACCAGAATTCTAAATAGAAAACAATCAGACAGCTAATGCTAGTATCAATTGTAGTGAAAGATTCAATTCTTATTAAATTGTTTAGAACCATGAACTACATGTATAATGCTAAAAAACTAAAATCGTTTTCACTTATTGTTTTACCCTTGTCAATCTGTTTCGATATACGATAACACATTTTTGCTCCGAACTTCAACTAAAGTTCACAAGCTAGGACTTTTTGTATGTTTTTTTACATTTACTATAAACATCTATGATGAGTTAATTAATTTGATACAAAAGAGACAGAATATACCAACGGACAATTAAAAAATTAAAAGTCGAAGAGAAACCGACAAGCCCATGACAAATAAACCAGGAAAACAGCGAAAACACAGAAAGTTAAGTCTACAACATAATCATCTAAAGACTGACCAACACTAACCCAACCAAAACTAGGGTTGTTTTCATATGCTCTGGCATAATAGACAGATTCAACTTCACATGTGGCATCCATCGTATTGCTCATCGTAAGTAAAACTTTGGTGAGAAATCTAATTAAGATAGTGATGTAGCATCACATGGTGTTCTAATGTTTTCTTCAAATATTTGATATATTTGTGCACAGATTAAGTTTTGGAATTGCAAACGATCGTTACTCCTATCGTTTATGACGTTGTTGTATGAAAATTATTGATGTTAATATAAAACTTTAAAAAAATACATGAATGTTACTGTTTCTTGCAAAAGAGACATTGAATGCTTACAATGACAGCATTTTTAGAAGTCCTTTCAAAGGCAAAGACTATTCATCTTTTGTGGATTTATTGGCTTTTTCTCGGTCAATAAAATGTATGCACTCATTGGACGAACACATCAACGTATACCCTACAGCTCCTTTTCTTCAAGTAAATGTTCATACAGGTAAAACATATATTTTTCGAAAAAGATGATTTCAAATTTAATCTGTAATTCTTTTCATTATTTCAAATCATTAGCAGCTTATAACAAAGTTTTTTAAAGATCATCTTGGTTCAATTGATTAATAAGTCAAGTCATTAAAAGAATAAGAAAAAATGTATGGTGTTCCTATCTCTCTATCAATGCAGCTTCGGTGCACTTTAAAGTTGGTCTTTGAAAAACAAAAACAAATTAAGATGAACTAGCATAATTTTAAATCAATTCTTTGTGACTTTTTTCAATGCTGATTGTTTTTCAGTGAACATAACGATAATATATGAAGACGTTTTATGGTATAATTTAAAGATTTGTTGACCATGAAAAGATGAAAATGCCAAAATAAATGAGATAATATTTCTCTTTTATCTCTAATCTTCTAAATTGGATTTGACTCATTATCGAATATCACAAATTGCTGGCTCTGCCAAAACTATAGTACGATACCGCACGACAAAAATGATATTAGTCAGTGTCATCCAAAAATATACTGCGTAAACAAACATAAAAAATCAAGATAATTATAGTAATAAATGTTTCTCCTATATAGATATGTCCCACTAAATAAATAAGACAAAAGTGACAGATAATTAAAAAATATATTTTGTCTATGCCTTTTGATAGGATTATTTACAAACACGTTTTAGATTTTCTGAATGATGTATTCGCTTCGATGCTTTTTTTAATTAAATTTAAATTTGCCAATGTTTAAATTAAGGACAACAGTGACTGTTTTTATTTTATTAAATTTATGTTTAGGAAGGATTGACGATAAATATTCTGTAAGTATTGTTAAGAAACGTCTTAGCGGGTTTCTAATTCTTTTGGCTTACGATGCATTGACACAGATATTATTTAGATAACAAGGAAACATATATAAACTGGCAGCTCTCATAAGGTGCATATTCGAACATTCCATTAATTAACCAAGTTATACTTTTTATCGTGTTTCTATCCTTTTAAGTCAACAAACACACACTAGACTCTATATAAATAACTGTTTCGAAAGGAAAATCGTGAACGTTTGTCATTTCTAAATTATTTCTAAAATTATGAATCAAGGAATTTGTTCAACGGCGTCTTGTGTGTATTGTAACACTCACACAATATTTTCCTGATTTTAGTTCCCAGTATTTTGACACAAACATATATATACACTGCCATATTACTTCTTTCGATACTATTGGCATTTAATATACTATCCGTTTTATATTTCTATTTATCAGATAATCCAATGAAAATGGCCATGAATCAAAATTACCTTCTTGTAGCCGCTATTGACTTTGGTACAACGTATTCTGGCTATGCATTTTCGATGAGACACGAGTTTAAAAATCAACCAATGACAATTCATGCCAATCAGTGTTGGAATGCTGGGTCAAAACAACTGCTGTCCTTAAAAACACCAACATGTTTGTTATTAGATTCTAACAAACAGTTTCTTTCATTTGGATACGAAGCTGAAAACAAGTATGCAGATATTGTGATGGATAACGAACAAGACGATTATTATTATTTCCACAGATTTAAGATGTGTTTGCACAAAAATAAGGTAAATGTAAAATGTATTAGACGATGAGGAGATTAGAGAACTAAGTTACATGTACTTTATAATAGTCAATGTATAGGAAAATGTTCATTGTGTAAAAGATAGACATATGAGTGAATGAACATATGGTACGATGACAAGCAGCGTAAATAAAGAAAATAAATAATGGACTGACCTACCTCTAGGCTGATTTTGACCTTATTTTGAAGATAATTACGATGTCATTGCACGAAAATCTGTTGTAAATTTCTATGGTTGTGCGAATCTTTTTAAAATGTGGTCAAAGGTAAGACTTTTTAACATTTTGGACAATGCTTCAGATTATTCATGATAAATTTAAGACTTCCATGAAATCGTGCTCTTGACTTGTTGTTTTAATTCAGTTTGTTACATTAGATACGTGATTGCCTTAGATTGGTGACTTATACAACCGTTTCAAACATGTGAGATAATGACATCTTTCTTCATTAATGGAAACTTTCACCCTATTAAAATATTCAAATTTCGGCTTAGATATGCAATAATATTTGACAACATATATAGATATTCTCAGAAAAGTTTGGTAACATCCAATGCATAACAAAGAAAAAAAGGAAAGGGTAAAGTTATACAAACACCCTATCCAAGTTTCAATTAAATTTAAATTTAAAAATATCGTTAACTGTAGCTGTCTATGTTTATATTCCTAACACTTGATCATCAATTTGAAAATGAAACGGAAAACTGAATTTATTTTGCATCGGTTTTGATATTATGGTATGAGATGCTTATACAATATTCGATACGAGTTAGCTGTTTTTCTACTTTCAATATACCCCTGAGGAAACTGAATGTTTGTACATGACAAATTCTGATCGTGGCCAACGCAAGATTTGGTACAAATATATTTTTGCCTTTGCATGTGCAAACAAGATCCTGTAAAAATTTCAGAGGTTAATGGACCTACAAAATATATTGAATCTAAAGATCAACCATACCTAAGGTGGTCTAGGTGTTGGTTTGGAAATATAAGTATTCATCCATCAGACATACTCAAAGAATTTGTTGTCTGAAGATATCTCAGATGGAGTAGTCATCTACATTGCTTACTGGCTTTTTCTCTAGCGTTACTCGATTAAATTTCTGTCGTCAGTGCTAGACATTACGAAGGATTTTTTTCTTATTTCTGTCAGACAATCAAGACTTACAATTTCTCATAATATAGACAGAATGATTCATATGAGAAATTGACACTCTATGAAATAATTTCAACCTTAATGATCTACAAACAACCTGAATTGTTATATAGAAAAAAAAACATGTCTTTATAAAAATTATTAACACGAAAGTGATTTTTTCGTGATTCAACATAACACCATTTAGTTGATTCGTCATTTTTTATCCGGCATTTATTAATTTTAAACTTCAAATAGGGATCAATTTCATGAAGCAAGAAATTATGCACGTCGATGATAGGCAAATGGGGTAAAAGCAAATTGAATTAAAATTAAAAATATTTTATTCTTTTCTGATTGTATGAATTCATACGTACTAGTAATTGTGGGATTATTTCATTACTGTACTTGAATACATGTATGTAGTATTTGTATTATATTCAATTCTTTTTAATTTAATCTATATTAGTTAAATTATTTATTTTACAAGAACTTGCTTTCAAATTTATAAGAAAATCAAATATATATATGTGGTTTCCTTAAGAAAATACCGGCACAAAGTCATGGATATGAAAATTGTTTTCCCTCGTTCCATTGATTGATAATGTTTGATTTTGTGGACTCCCCCCTTTTTAAATTTTCTTTGGAGTTTCATTTTTTTGGTTTTAGGATGTCTCAATGGAACTGTTAATAGAGGACATAACAGGGAAATCAATGCCAACAATTGATGTGTTTGCATTATCTATAAAGGCCCTGAAGAATCATCTGATGTCATATTTGAAAACGCAAGGCACCGAAGTAGAATTGAAAGATATTAGATGGGTTTTGTCTGTCCTTGCAATTTGGACAGATATTTCAAAACAATTTATGAGAGAAAGTGCAGTAAAGGTAAAACAGTATGTAATTATGTATATGTTTTACTTATAATAAGCATATAACTATGCAATGTTCTTATGTTTATTCAAGTATAATGACCATTCGTTATATACACTGGCGTAGGAGCCATCACAAAATTTTAGAAAAATAAAAAAATATTAAAAATTTAACAGACTAATTCCTAGACTATTAGACTATACAAATCTTATTTTTTTGCTTGTTACTTTCAAACTTTGACCCCACTCTTCAGTCCACTCCTACACCACTGGTTATAGATAAACGTAGGATTCATAACTCGTGAGATATTTGATATCAACTCGAGTTGCATAATTTCAACATATTAATGAAATTAAATAACGAGATTTGATATCAAGTGGTATGCATAAAATTCGAATGATTATGAAAGGATGTTGGAATGCTACTGGTTTGTGAATTTCCGGATCTAGGAATTTGCTCTTATCATATCATCTTATATTACAAATAACTGTACAGTTTCTGAATGATATTTCTTTATATTGAAGTAAAAGGATATTATAAAGCAAATATTGATTTTTTTTGACAGGTTGGTATATCAAAGAATAATCTTCTCCTGTGCTTAGAACCAGAAGCTGCTTCCATATATTGCCAATACCTACCTACAGACAAACTGGTTGGTATAGAAACGGGATTCACAATGGCAAAACCAGGGACTAAGTATATGATTGTAGATCTTGGAGGTACTTATTATATTTCACTATTTGTTTTTATACAAGCTATATGTGGTTGATCTAAATGGCCTAAGACTCCATTAAATTCTCCGTTATTCTTTCCAATAAAGTTATGACACATCATTAAAACCAATGTGAATTTGACTATAAGGTTCACCAATGCTAGAGTTCACTGATTAAACCTTTGACAGTGTTGTAAAGGGTTAACAATTTCCTGCGGATCAGGTACAGGGTCTTATGCTACATTTCTTAACCGTACATGTCAGAAAGTTTAAGGCCTGCTTTGATTATTTCAAGGTCCCGACTGTGTATTGTCTACCAAAAATGCATAACAAACCATAATTTCTAGTTAGTGACAATGTTAGATCTTGAGATTTGCGCTGAACACAGCGCAGGCGGAGTTGCCACGATGTCACAGAAGCAAGGGTTCGAATCCCGTTGAGGGAAGAACAAACATTTCTGAAAGCAAGATTTTAAAAAGTAAACAAGATACCAAGTGTAATATTGGAAACCGAAAGACAAAGCCATTGCAAAAAAAAAAAACCCCAAACTAACAAAACAACACTACAACACTACAAACAAGATTGAATAATGAACAAGTGAACACACCAAAACGATGAACGCAGAAGATCAATAAGAGTAAGAAGCTCCTGCAACCCTACTGTCAACCGTCTTGCTGAGGGCAAGAACAAAGTCAGTTCGACGTAGCTTTCGGTGTTTTTATATACACCTGTAACAGCATTGTGGCTACGACAAGTGGCCATCAATTCATTTTGATCAACCGAGTAACGATGACATCAGCTTAGACAACAGTAGTACTGCAAACACTTCTTTATATCCATGTACCAAACCCTTAAAAGAAATACATTTAATTTTTATTTTTACACTAAAGTTAGTTGCTGTTCTTAATATCTTACACTACTCCATGTTGTTAGAATGATCTAATTGATACTTTAAAACTTTAAACAGAAGCCTCTACACCGAATACTTTGATTAAATTTATACATCACTGTTAATAACAATTCGAAAAATAAATTTGTCAATGTTTCCGAACAACAAGATTTTTTGTTTCAATTACATGTATGAGTGATAATAACTAAACCGATTTTTAATAAACCTTAATAATTTTAGGTGGAACAGCAGACATCACGGTACACGAAAAAATGTTGGGTGGCCGTTTGAAGGAATTATGTCGAGCTACTGGTGGCAACTGTGGCGGAACTTGTGTTGATGCAGAATACATTCAATTAATGATAAAGATTGTAGGTGCACCTGTCCTTAAAATTATGAAGCAAAAATATCTTGAATCATACCTAGACTTAATACGAGATTTTGAAACAAAAAAGAGAACAATTAATCCAGACACAAAAAAGGTCACCATGGCTATACCATTTTCAACACTGAACACACTTTGTGAGAAACAACTAGAAGAAAGTTTTCGAAGCGTCATAGCATCATCACCATATTCAGATTCCATTGTTATTTATGGCGATAAAGTGCGTATAGATGCTAATGTTTTAAGGAAACTGTTCGACAAAACAATTGCAAATATTATATTGCTTATTAAAGAAATATTTCAAATGGAAAGTGCGCGATCCTTAAATAAAATAATCCTTGTTGGTGGATTTTCGAACTGCGTTCTTGTTCAAGAAGCTGTGAGACGAGCATTTCCAAACTGTAGAGTAATAATACCGTTCGATCCGGGTTTGTCTGTCTTACAAGGTGCTGTTCTGTTTGGTCATAAATCAGACGTCATTTCATCTAGGATTAGTAGATTTACATATGGAATTTCGTTTAATCCAAAATTTGACACAGCTATTCATGATGAAAAATATCGTTATTTATCAGATGGGGTTTGGCGATGTAAACATGCTTTTGATAAAATATTAGAAAAGGATTCGGTAATTCCAATTGGAACTGTAATACAGAGAAAGTATAACACAAAAATTAATGTGAATAAAATATGGCTTAAAGTATTTGCAAGCGAACATCATAATCCAGTTCATACATCTGATGATGATTGCTTTTCTCTTGGTAATATTGGCATTGATGTATCGGATTCGTCGAGATGCCAAGTTTTAGAAGTTGGGTTTATTTTTGGAAACACTGAACTTAGTTTGACTGTGATAGAAGCTGCATCGGGAAACAAATGCATGGCACAGTTTACATTAGAATAGCAATTTCACTCTGATAAACAAACCGTTGTCTTAAGTAACCATTTTGATATGATCACCTTCTAAAATAATAATGTAAAAAAATAACTGTAGTAATGTTAAGTAACCATCATAGTCCGTTAGAGTTACATAAATCTTCAAAAATACATGATAAAAATGAGATTTTTTTGAAAAACCTGTTTATTTTGGAGAGTATTTTGGTAATTCAGAATACGTACAAGTTTTTTCATACTCTCAATGAATTAGGTATCATATTAGAAAAATGATTAACTGGGTAAACAAAAGGTTATAGAGAGAGGGAACCGCAGGTCAGGTTGTTGGTTCACCATTCTTTCCAATATGATTTAGATGTTAAAAGGAGGCCATGTCTATCATTTGCGTTTTAATGAGTGGTACTGTTAATGACAAATGAAAGGATGTTGTGATTATGATAAATTCTTTGTTTGTAAATGACGGATTATAAAATAAATATTAATATAGATATGTTATATCCACTTTGCTTATTATTGATTTACAAACATTCTGGATAAATAGTCAGAGTTTATAATCGACCGACCACCAGCTATCAAGGAGAGCACGCTACTTTCGGGACAATCAAGTTCGTAAATAGGTTTGTTTGTTAGACGAGGCTAAAATTCTGAAGAAATTGAAGACATTGTGATCACTATGAAGATAAAAATAATAAAATTAATAAAGTGCGCATTTAAACAGTTATAGTAATAAGAGGGTCACTTAATGTCAAACAGAAATCAGTTGTAAAGTTTTGTAAGGTTGAGTTTTTTTATTCCATTTCATGTGACCAATATATTTCGTTCTTATAATGTAAAACTGTCCTAGCCATACTTCTTTTTGAAATTTTGGCACGTTGATGTCTTCGTCGTCCATGAAATAAAAAAAGTCATATCATCTTGCATTACATATTATGTTAACATTAAAGCCCTAATTAAGATCTGATAACCTTTAAAAAAATCTACAATACAGTAAGAACGGAATATATTTATCACATTCAAAATCTTTACGAGAATGCGTCAACAAGAAGAAGAAGGCTATTATATTTCAATTCGATACGCACACATGGGACAACATACCATAAACAATAACACAATAAAACAAGCACAAAAGAACAATACAAAGGGATATAATTACCTGATTGATGAGATGATACAAATGCACAATTTTGTATAACATATCATTACCCAATAATTTAAAATACATTATAACTTATCTGTTTAATACAATTCAAAGATGCTGAGAACTGGTCACCTTAGACAATAACGCCGGTTTTGAAATAATTCTATTTTGTATTTGTTTATTGAAATCGTCCTTATCTCTTTCCATTTTATTTAGGTATTTATTTAAATATTTAGAATAAAAGAAAACAAAACACATGTATACATTGCATCCATATTTTGAGTTGAAAGGGCATTGTCATTGTATATATACAATATCAAATATTCCATAATTCCATATAAAAACTATTTAACAAAAAGTACTAAGGAGATACATCTGGGCAATAAAACTCATAATCCAAGAATAAATGACAAAACCATGGCCATACGTCAAAACCTCATCAAAGATACGAAACAATATTCCATAAAAGACTACAAATTAAAAAGACTATTAATTTAGCAACATGAATAATACCAAACAAAAGAGGTTTAACCAAGTACGGATCTTCAAGAGGCAACCCTGGTGTTTGTCATGAGATAAACAAAAATAGTTATATTCTTGTATATTATAAATTAAGGCGGCATGTTCAAAAACGAGGATCGGATGATGCAATTGTGACTACGATTAGCAAAGTGAAATTTTCGAAGAAAGGACTTCAACTTACATTGAAGAATGCTTGGTTCAGCAATTTTCTTGTAAAGATCAAGCCTAAATAAATCCTGAAAGGAATTGCATGCTCTGAAAAAGCTTGTCAAATCTGGAATATATACTGTTTAATAACGGTTTTGCTTGAGAATTTCTATAAAAATATGAAAATAAATATGAAATGAGGACTATTTGAAAATATATCATCGCATAGATTAGCATGCTCTTCAAATTCGTACTTTATTTTTTGCTGTTTTAACTTTTTTGATCGGAGCGTCGCTGATTGGTCTTCTGTAGACAAAACGCGCGTCTGGCGTGCACAATTTTAATCCTGGTATCTTTGATGAGTTTGTTAGCTACCACATCTATCTAATTATTCAGTAAAAAGAGCATCAATAATTTAAGTAAAGGTGAGTGATGATGCTAGCTTTTTCTATCTTCTTTAGAAGCCATAGTTGGAATTGGGTCTCCTATGAATAGGGATAGACGACGATAATAATATCTATGTAGATATCACAAACTTTTATCCATATCAATATGTGTCAGGTTCCAATAATTAAAACGTGGAATAATTTCGTTGCGACTTAAATGTTTCAAATACAAATTTTATACCTGTTAAATCCTTTATACATCGTACTTCATTAGGCCTTTTCACTATCTTCATTCGAGCGTTAGTAGACGAAATGCGCGTCTGTCGTGCATGCACAAAATTATAAGCCTGATATCTTTGATGAGTTTTTTTATCATTTGTGTTTCAAAAGTTTTTCATTTGTGTTTCAAAAGAAGTTACGTTTTTTTTCTCCATTTAATACGGGTAATATCGTTAGAAAAATCAAATCTGCGTTGAAGTGAATGCTGTACAATTTCAAATCTTCTTAAGCGGGTTAACCCTCTTACTGTGGGAGGGACATTTGTGTCTTCCCCTGGCTAACTGCGGAAATGCCATATATGTCATTTGTGTAACAAAATAGTTTTTTTTTTATCCTTTCTTAATATTTCTAAAAAATACCCATTCCTTCATTCATTATGCACATTTCATATATTTGAATCATAATTTGCTTATTATTTTTTGCTATTTTTTTCCCTTTACTCTTCTTTTTCATAAAACGTCATCATTGCGATATATACAATTTGACGTCATTTGACGTCATTTGACGTCGTACGTATACTTTTGTTGAAGGCAAGATAGCGCTTCCAAATTTAGAATGAGCTATTTAAACGCTTCTTATTGATAAGATAAAACAGAATCATACAGAAAAAATTCAACATAAACGAATAATCATTGAGCTGCACAAACAAATGTATTTGCTAATTGGTTTTAGTTTTGTATCCAACAATATATTTCAAACAATTGTCCTCAGCTCTCTTAGATTGGGAGAGGCATATACTAAGTGTTGAACTTAGTGCTTGCAGTGGTTTTCAATACAAAGCTACACATAAAAGAAAAAACAGCTAACAAAGACACAAAAGACAAATTAGTTCAAAAATAAACATTAGTTACATCTTTGTAATTTTTTATGTTATCTTCAGTAAAATAAAGCATAATGTTGTACACTCTTTTATTATCAGGATGACGTATCATAAGGAGGTAAAACTAAACTATTTCAGTTAAAACACAAGACCTATATCTGCAAAATTATTTTATAACATTAACGGTAAAAGATTAGCATTTCGACAATTAATGTCTCGTCATTGATGCTAGTTGTCAAAATAACAGAAACTCCAAAAACCTTATAAAAAACGTTGTAGCGCTATCAAACACAGAAAGGTACAAATGTAAAGTTAAACTCGGACAAGAAATCAAAGCTTTGTATAAGGGAGAAAAAATTCTTAGTTTAAGATTATTTTCAAAATTTATAAGAAAATTTAAATAATATAATATCCCTATTTTCTTTATACCAACTGTGACGGCACTTCACATTAGAATAACTAGTCCAAGATTTAAATATTGAAAAATATCCAACGAGTGACCGAACAACCTAAAAATTTATGAGTTAATTATCGGTGTTGTTCGGTCACAAGATGAATATTTGAATTCTCGGGTTAGTTATTCTTTATATTTCATTGACCATGGACTTTAAATGGAAATAAAGTAGAAAATGAAAAGAGTTATATATCTTTTTCTACGTATTCTCAATTCAGTAGGACAACCGGAAGCGTCTAAGTCAGGATTTCGGTACTCAGTGATACGGTTCACTAGACGACGTTGTCAACACGTAATGGCGGCCATTGTTTGACGTCGGTTTTAGTATATCACGATGTAAAGTTGGATTTATGACATTCTTGGATGCTTTATCTTTATGCTACACAACATACAAGGTAAAGGCACATTTCAGATATTCAGATAATTATTTTCAAATAAGTGTGCTTTCAGGAAATTATTTAAACGGCAAAAATAAAGTGTAAATTTATTTTAAATATGAAATACCATTCATCATCATTTCCCATTCATATAGTGAATCCACTATTTACACCCAACGTTGGTTAATTAAATTCGGATTTCGGCCTGAGATATCCGCCATTGTCTCCGGAAATATTATACCCACACAAGTTGTCAACATCCGTTTTCAAACAGTTCAAATTGTTTTTCACATTCTCCCTGACCGCTATCACTTTGTGCTCAGGTAATAGTACATTCTTGTAAACATCAAACAGCAAATACCGACCAAAATGAATCAAATTTGAATGCATGAGTGTTCACGTCTCAGGCAGACATGTAAGTTCTCCAAAAGGGGGAGGGGCATTTTGCCCTAAATATAATGACCACAGGCGATTTGTTACTTTTTAATTTGCTGAACGTCTCAGGTTCAACTCGAACCATGTACCAATTCATGAGAATGTAAAACCTATTCACTTTAACTGTTGACCTCTTTATACCTGGTCTAATATAAATATATTTGTCCCAGTTCATACATGTATACCCCAAAATTTATAAAAACTTCCATAAAGGCAATAGAAAAGTTAAATTAAAAATTAAACTTGATATAAAATACAAAGGGAAAGAGATAACTAAGGGATTTCTGGGGTTGGGGCAGGCAGAGTTCTCAAAATAATTTTTTCCCTGTTGGTCCTTGATGAAAGTCTTCTGGTCTTCACTATTATTTCTATTGCAAATTTCCATAATTATGTTAGTCCTTTGAAATTTTAGGTGGTCAAAACCTTCGAATTCAAGGGGACATGCTATTCATTTTCTGATATTGCTAGTATGGCTTATTAAGTTCGCCTGGCTACACGTACATTTATTTTCAATCCGTACACAAATTAGACAATTATTTCCTGCATTTTATTGGACAGAATATTCATTTCGTCCTGTATCAGCACTCTTGAGCAATGTTTAGATTATGTTCAGTTATTACTATGATTACATGTACCAGACCAGAATATGCATTACCCTAATACCCCGTGACCCCCCCCCCCCCCCCCCCCCCCAAAAAAAAAAATAAATCAAATAAATCAAATTAAATAGCCATCCTCTGAATTCATATCTCTGAAATTTATCAGAGAAATTTACAAAACGAAATTAACCAATCACCCACCCATTTGAAAGCTTATACATGTATCCCCTGAAACTAACAAAATAATACCTCTTACAATTTCATTATATCTGACATGCATCGTACGATGTACATGTTAATGATGTTTATGTACAATATTGAATATAAAAATGTAATCA